ATAAATCTTTAAAAAAAAAAAAAGAAAGAAACAAGCAGCCGTTGCGGGCAGAGAACCTCGGCAAGTGGATGGCATGGCAGAAACAGACATAATTAGGGGACAGTTGGTAGCTGAGGCAGTAGTGGAAAGGGGCAGTCTTTGTTGATAAGGGAGGGTGACTTGAGAGTCACTAAGAACAGGGCTCCTGTGTGTGTGTGTGTGTGTGTGTGTGTGTGTGTGTTACTCTACTCTCAACTCAGAGCCAAACCTAACCACGAAGGAGACCCTCCTGCCGAGCTTCAGAAAGGAAGGAAATGGACCAGCTGGGTGGAGTGGAGCAGGAGGAGGAGATCCAGGGAGCAACTGCCCTTGATCAGCCAGTGCACAGCTTCAGGAATGGTCTAGTTCATCCCCAAGTGAAGTACAGAACACTTTAGGAAAAAAGCAGGGTACCCTGTCCCCTGCCTGTCAGGACAGCCTTACTCATCCTGTATGGACTGAGGATGCCTGTGTCTGTGGTTATTGTTTTAGATGCAGCACTATCGCCAAAAGTTTGGGCTGTGCGTCGTCTTCCTCTCCTGCACCATGATGCCCAAATTTAAGGACCTGATTCAATTCGAGGTCAGCATGGGCCACTACGGAAACAAGATGGATCCAAACTACAAGCCTCTTGTGTCTACCACACAGCACAACCCGGTGATATATGACGGTAACTGTCAGATTCAAGCAGAAACTGCGGCACCCCACGTGTGTGTGAGGCTCTTCCAAGGGAGTTGGCTCATAGAACATTCCTGAACACTCCCAGTTGTTTTTAGGTAGGGTCTCACTATGCATTCCAGGCTGGCCTTGGTCTCATGGTTCCCCTGCCTCAGGTTGCAAAGTGCTAGAATAACAGGCATGAGTGTCACATCTGGTCATTTGACACACATTTCACACACGATGACGATGAAGTTCAGGGTGGTGAAGTCACCTGCCAGACAGTGCATAGCTAGGGGGCAGTGACCTCAAGAATAGAAAACCACCAGCCACCCAAGTATCTACTGGCCATCTCTCTACTCTTTATCCATCCATTGAGTTTATTTCTGTGGACAGTGTCCGTGCACATGTATGAGCTTGTATGTGTATTTGCAGAGGCCAAAGGAGGATGTTAAATGTCCTGTTCTATCACTCTTTCTCACTCTTCTCTTACGGGTCCTGGAGTGAGGCTGGTGCCCAGCAATCCTCCTGTCTGCACCATGTACACTACAGCCCCACACGGCCACAAGCTGCTTTTCACACGGGCAATGGTAATGAAGAACTTGGGTCTTCATAGGTGTGTGGCAAGCTCTTATCCAGGGAGACATCTCTCCAGGCCCCAATCCATTTATTGAGCCATTCAACTTTCAGCTGCCCACTCTTCCAAATACCCCATCCATCCCTCCATCTGTCCATCCGTCCATCCATCCATCCATCCATCCATCCATCCATTCATCCATCCCCTCATCCATTGTGAACTAATCGGGAACCTTATCTGCCTGCTACAGTCCCTGGGCCAACAGCATCAGCATGTTAAAAAGGAAGATTTTAACCCCACTCCAGACCTATAAATATCAAAAAGAATCTACAAATAGAGCCTAGCACACAGTTGGGGCCCACAGGTGCTGTGGATTCATGTTAAGATTTGAAAGCTCCTGACTGGTCTCCCCTCCCCCTTGTTAGCATCACCATTTCAGATGCTTTCTATGGGCCCCACTTCCCTACCTACACTTTTAAATAAAAGCTCTATTGAGATGCAATTCCCATAGCGTATAATTTGCCCTTTCAAAGCGTACAATCTCATGGATTTTAGGATTTTCACAGTTATGCAACCATTACCACAGCCCGTTTCAGAATGCTTTCCTCTCTCCCCAACAAAACCCTAGGCCCTTTAGCCCTCCTTTTTACTCTCTCACCTCCATGGCTGTAGACAGCCATAATCTACTTTAAGTCTCCGTACATTCGCCTAGTCTGACATAAGGTCCTTTCTGACCAGCCGGTTTCTTCCATTTAACAAAGTTCTGCTGTGCTTACAGTGAGAAATATGTATGCAAAAAGCATCTAAAGATGCACACGTATAGCTTATAGAAGGGTTAAGTGACTTCTCACAAATTTATCACTCAGCTAGTACATACATAGAAGGCTGCCAAGGCCTTAAAAGGTCCCTTCATACAAGAAATAACTATGACTCCGTGTCTTAGGGTCATCCACCTTTGGCTTTCTGTTTTGCTTTGATCCTCTGTGTATGGAACCCAGGAGCAGCAAGCTCTTCTTCTGTTGTCTCTGACAGGACTCCATCCATACACGTATGTCTGCCTTCTGCCCAACATGACCTGACTCTGGGTAGCTACATTTTATTCCCATTCCTGAATGGATCCCACTGTGTGATCAGACCACAAATTATATAGTGTATATAGATAAGCTGGCTGGTATAATAACTTTGCTGTAAGTATTCTCATACATGTCTTCTGGTCACAAGGACAGGGGTTCCCCTAAATTATATACCTAGGGGTGGGGTGGGAGGGAGTCTCAGAGTAGAAGCGATTATACCAAATTACACTCCCACCAGCATGGGATGAGAATTCGTTTCGCTCTCTGTTCTCACCAGTCCTGGATGCTGCCCGGGGTTTGATTTTGCCATTCTATTGGATGTGAAAAACCATCTCACATGAGCGTAATGTGCTCTTTCTCATCATAAACGAAGGCTGACCGTCTGTATATATGCATCATTTTACCTTATCCCCCCCATCTTTTCCTCCAGTATATAATCATCTGTCGGCATCTTTCTTATTGGTTTATTCATTAAATCTTTTGTCAGACCTGTGTATCATGTGCTTATCACTTACTTTAAAATATAGATCAGCCACCCCTTTTCTATTTTGTTGTTTGAGGTAGACAGGTCTCTAGTAGCCCAGGCTGGTCCCAAACTCATGCACTATGTAACTGAGAATGACCTTGAATTTCTCATCTTCCTGACTCTACTTTCCAACTGCTAGATTCCCATTCCTGTGCCATAAGGCCCGCTTTATGCGGTGCTGATGGCCAAACGAGGGCTTCCTGTATGTTAGCTGGAGTTGGTACACCCCTAGGAGCTACACCCCTAGCCCCACATGGCTTTCTTTAGTGAAAGAGGACTGCTTACATTTTTTGCTCATTACATTTTTATTATGTCTACTTAGTGTGTGTGTGCACACATGTGAGTGTATTTATGTGCAAGTTGTCAGAAGACAACTTGGGGGGAATTGGTTCTGGATCCTGGGGCTCAGGTCATCAGGCTTGGTTGAAAGTGCCTTTATGAAAGACATATCTTAGAGATCAGAGGTTCCTAGAGGTTTTCCTTGTTGTCTTTGGCTATTTTTTTTTTGGGGGGGTGACCTTGAACTCAAGATCCTCTTGCCTTAGCCAAGTGCCAGGATGGCACACTGCAGAGTGGGAGAGCAGGTGTGCCACAGTTTGCACGCATGCGTGTGAAGAGCAGAGAACAGCTTTTGGGAGTTGGCTTTCCCCTTCACAACCCAGAGACTGAACTCAAATCATTAGGCTTGGTGCAAAGCATCCTTACCCACCAGTCCTGAATTGGTCTTGACTTAGTTTTTGTATGTTGTGTGAGGGAGGGGTTGAAATTCATCATTTCTAGATAGACGGCCAACCTGAACACTATTTGCTAAGAAACATTTGATGTCTGCATTGAATTACTTTGGCACCTTACCTAAAGATCAATTAACCATGTGCTGTAGTCTCTTTCTAAAATGTCTATTCTATTCCCTCCCCCTCTTAAGGTTGGTTTTTTGTTTTTTGTTTTTAATTATGTGTCCATGTCCATGGGTGAAACCAGAAGAAGGCATCAGGTCCCCTGTAGCTGGAGCTCCCGGCTGTTGAGAGCCATCTGACATGGGTTCATGGAATGGACCCAGGAAGAGCAGGCAACTCTCTTAACGCTGAGCCATTTCCCCAGCTCTAATTGTCTGTTTGTATGTTTCAGTTTTTTCTGTTTATTTTCAAGACAGCGTTTCTCTGTGTAGCCCTGGCTGGCCTCGGACTCACAGAGATCCTCCAGCCTCTGCCTGCCAAGCACTGGGATTAAAGGTATGCTCTACCACCTCCCACCCCTCCACCCCGTTATCTTTTGAAGTATCAAATTTTAAAATTTAGGTCAAATCCATTTTCCCCCCACAGTGTCATATCTCAAAAACTTGGCCTTACCTTAGGATATGAAAATTTTTTTCTCCTATTTTTTTCCTTCAAAAATGTTGGGAGGATTTGTGTATTTAGCTCTACGACTCACTTTGAATCAGTCTGTGCACATGTTTTGTGGTGTTCACCTACCGTTTGTTCACAGCACGATCCTTCCCTGACAGACCGGCTTTATGTTCTGAGATAAAGAACTCTTTTGTGCTTTCCCTTCTTCTGGGGCTGCCACGGAGTGGGTTCACAATTCCCCTTGGTTCTCTTCTAGCTATCATTTTCTCCCTGGCTCCCTTTTCCCCATTAATATACTTATTTATTTATTCACTTTCCAGCCCCCTCCTCCCAGACGCCCCCTCACCCTCCCTTTTGACTCTGTCTTTTCATTTCATCTTGGTTACTTGAGAAATTCTTATGCTGCAGTGAATAGTCTGCAAGGTTTAAAGGTCACTCTGGGGCTTCCCAAAGTTGTCTTTCTCTGGTGTTTTTGTTTTCTCTTGGCTGTTTGCTGAGCTCACATTTCATTCTCGGAGTCTTGCTTCCTTGGGGAGAGGATTTTTTGAGGGCAATCTTCAGGCCTCAACCTTCAGCCTGGCTGCCCTCCGTGACTCTTGCTTTCTGGTGCCTTTGTTCCTCAGTGCCTCCGTGGAAGCTGGGTTGCTTTTGACAGTCCTTATGTGTATTTTGAGTCTATAGGTTTTCTCTGTCTCCCTGTTAGCTGGAAACGGACTTATTTTCTGTATTTGGAAGATCTCCAAGAAGAGAAGAAGAAAATTGGCATCTTGGATCCCGGTCTCCTACTCAGAACCTAAGTCATGGACCTCCTCTTATTGATTACGAAGCCCATTCATTCAGTCCTGAGTCGAAAATGGTTGCCTGTCAGCCATTGCTGACAATTTAAGGGGGTTTCTCTTTGTGAATCATTCATTCTAGTTTTCACTACTGTTTCCTTCTGGAAGTAATCTGCCCTTTTATATCCCACTCTACATCCCACCTGCCTCACCTCCATATTTTTAAGTCTTTTGTCCATATCTTTCATCCTGGGCTCTCTCCGGGCTACCTCTGGAAACTTCTAGATCTTTCAGATGGCCCACCAGTGCCTGCCTTCTCCCACTTTGTTCTTCTCAGCGGCCCGTTCTACCACTGCACGCACTAGCCTCCGGGCTGCACCACACACGCTGACTTTGTCCTTTTTGTCCTCACTGTTTTTCTCTGTGCTCATGATACAAACAGCAAACTATATTTTTACAATAAGTATTCATATTCAGCACAAGTTCAACACCAACCACAGCCCAGGGGACAGAAAGACAGTGGGTGGCTTCCTCCACCATCCTGCTCAGCAGGGCAGCACAAGTTTTCAATTTTTTTTTAAAGTAAGGATTTGATTCAAGAATAACATACTCATGGAAAACCACCCAAACCAAAGCACAGAGCTCAGTGACTAATCCTGGGGCAAACACACCAAACAATAGCACTCAGATGAGAAAGTGGGATATGGACACCCTAGGAGCCTGTGCCTCTTACCTGTACCCATCCAGGGCAACTCTATTCCATCTCATCCTTCTATATTAAAGAACGTGTATTATCCGTATTCTTTTTGAAAAGCTCTACCTTCTTCATCAGTTTGTGAAATGTGGCCACAGGCAACATACACTTGGATATAGCTGTAGCTTTCTTTCTTTCACTTCCGTGTACTTAGTATGCCATTGTGTGAATATAGTCAGCCATGAGTAAGCATGGACAACCAGATTTTTTCCCTTTTTTATTGGATATTTTATTTATTTACATTTCAGATGTCATCCTCTTTCCCCATTTCCCCTACCTAGAACCCCTTATCCCATCCCTCCCCTCCTTTTTGCTTTTATTTGAATTACATCCAAGTATTCCGGTCAGTTCTAGGTTGAGGGACTAGCAATACAATAGATGCAAATAGTCAAGGAACAAGCAAGACAATAAACACAAATAGTCAAAGAACAAGCAAGGCAATAAACAAAATTCCGTGAATGTTCCTGTGATCACTGTTTCTAAGGGCTTATCAGGATAACCAAAGGGCAACCAGATTTAACTAACCAGGCATCAAAAATACTAAAACAAACCAGGTATGGTACTACAGTCCTTTGGTCCCAGCACTCCAGAGGCAGACAATTCAGATGAGTTGTTTAAGTCCAGCCTGGTCTACATAGAGACTTCGAGGACAGCCAGGGCTATGTAAAGAGATCCTGTAGATTGATTGATAGGTAGATAGATAGATAGATAGATAGATAGATAGATAGATAGATAGAACAAACCAGCAATGTATACACACGAAGTATTATAATGTATGCATGCAATGTATAAATATAATGTATACATAAGAAGTATTACCCAAGACAAAGAAATTGAAAAGTACCAAAACAAGAGCTGGAGAGTTGGTTCTCCATTTGGGAGGGCTTGCTGTGCAAGCTTCAGGATTGGAATTCATATTATAGTTCCCCTATAAGAAGCCTGTAACCTGAGTTGGAGTGGAGATGAGGGTCATTGGGTCTCTTTGGTTGCCACCTAGTCAAGTAACTTGAGCTCCCAGGGGCTGGAGAGATGGTTCAGTAGTTAAGAGCATCAATCGGATGCTCTGTCTTCCAGAGGACCTTGGGTTAGCTTCCCAGAACCCATAAGGTGGGTGGCTCACAACCATCTATAACTTTAATGTCAGGGGACTGGATGCTCTCTTCTGGCCCCTGTGGGAATCAGACACAAATGTGATACAGAGACAAACACAATAAAATAATTAACAAGACAAGCTTCAGGTTTTAGGAGAGTTCTCGCCTCAAAAGAACAGGCAGAAAATAAGAAGGCATTTGATACATTCTTCTGATCTCCCCATGCTGTTCACAAGCGTCTGTCTCATACTTACTCTACACAGACCACACTTGCACACACACACACACACACACACACACACACCTGCATCTATGTTGAACATGTGCAGATTGTTCTTTTGTCATTGTCCTCTAAAGAATACCATATGGCAGAGTAGCAGCTATTTGCATAGAGTCTGCAGATTATATGACTATAGGGAACATGAGGGTAGATCCTATGCAAATGCTATGTGTTTTATATAAGGGACTTGATCATCTGGATTTTGGTAACACAGGGTGTCCTCAAACCAGTTCCTCAACAGTCCTAAGGGATGGCTGATTACCATAGTTTATGTCTTCTATTGCGGAGGGCACTTCAGTCTTTTCCAACCTCTGTCCATTCCAATTACAGCGGCTATACCAGACTTCTCTGCACATCTTAGTGATGCTGGATTCACCTCCCTGTAGGGTATTTACAGCAGAACTGGAATTACTAGGTTAGGGAACGTGTGTGTTGTTTTTAAACTGCTAATTTTCTCTCCATGGTGTGGGAATTCTTTGAGGTCTGGCTCAAATTTCATTCTCCAGGGAAATCTGCCTGTTCCTTACTCCAGGGACCTGGCTACTACCAAGGAGCCAGCTCCAACCTGCTTGTTTGCCATCCTTCAGACTTCAGCAGTAGCATGTCTCAGGATGCTAAGCTGAGTTATATGTCCCCTCCACCTAGAGCCATAGTAGAGACAAGCAAGCATCCTCACTGTGCCCTTCTGGGTGATGGGCCATCTCTTATTCATCTTGACCCTGAGAGCTAAGATTTTGGGGTATCCACATTTCATTCTAGGTCTAGGTGGGCAGAAGTTCCTGATGACCTGAGATTGAATCCCAGACCCTACCTACATGGAGGAAGGAGAGAGAGCTGACTCCTGAGAGTGGTCCTCCAACCTTCACTTTTACACACATGTGAAGGCCTGCACCCACATACACAAACCACACAAACACAAGTAACAGAAGAATGTTACTTTAAAAAGCTTAAACTAAGACAATAGGAGGCTGTGGTGGCACACACCTTTAATGCTAGCAAGCAGAAGGCAGAGGCAGACAACAGTTCTCTGTGTCTGAGGCCAGCCTGGACTTCAAAGTGAGTTCCAGGACAGCCAGGGCTACACAGAGGAAACCCTGTCTCAAAAACAAAACAATCATAACAAAAAGATAATAGGAAGGTGGAAGTTGGAGGTGAGGGAGTCACGGTTGGTTCTCTGGGACAATGCTAAGGGCAACCCTTGGGTTCTTCATCTGGCAGATGAGTCATTCCATTCTCCCATAGCTTCCCTTGACTTCTCCTGATAATCCTGGGTCTTCACAGGGACACTATCTTTCTGTCTGCCTCCCAGTCATATTGCCTTAAGGACCCACCCTGCCCCACAAAGAATGACCTTCTGTCAACTAATTATATCATCAGTGATCCTATTTCCAAATTAGATGGTATATTGAGGTATATTAGATGGTATAGTGAGGTTTAGGACCTCAACGTATCTTTCAGGATTCACAGGACATAAGGTGTCCTGTTAAACTGTCCACACTAGGTAGGGCCCAGCTTTCTGTCATATTCACATGCCCTGAAGTTATCAAAGAAGCTCAACTTTTCAAGGCTTGGGTATTTGCCTACCAGGTTTTCTGCTGCTTAAACATTTTGGGCACTTGTGATTTTTTTTTGTTGTTGTTGTTTCTTTGAGGCCAACACAGCAGGAAATTGCAGAAAAGGTGTACTGTAGGGGAGATAGCTCTTACTGATCTTCCAGTCCCCAGCACCCGCATCAGCACCAACCTGATTTCCTACCTGTAAACCAGGGGCTTTGGAAAGCCACATGACACTCTGAACATAGTATATACCCAGTAGGAACCAGACATGTTCAAATGCTCACTCTAGGCTCGGGTTTGAGGGCCCACTTGACAGATTCTTGAGAACCAAGGAGCAATTCTTTAGGTGGAGACAGTGATTAAGACCTTCTAGTTTGGTTCCTTAGATATCCCATCCCCTCCATCCTGTGTCTCTGTGTCTCAGGGAGTATCTACCATTATGTGCCCTGGTACAACACGAAGCCTGTGGTGGCTGTGACCTCCAACTGGGAGGATGTCAGCTTCCGAATAAACTGCCTCAACCTCCTCCACATTGCCCGGGATCGTCTGGTGAGAGTGCAGGAGGGAGCTGGGGTAGCTGGGAGGCTAAGGAATGTACATTGCAGTACTAGGAAACCTGTCACACCTGCACTTGTATACAGCATGATATTGGGACCCCACATCATTGAGAAGTGTGCCAGATACAGCATTGGGCACTGAAGACACGATGATGAATAAACAGATTTGTCCTCCCTGGCTGCAGAAATCAGAGATGTAGTTACTATGCAGTGCAACTAGGGTTGCCATGGAAGAGCAGAGATGCAGTTACTGTGCAGTGCAAAGTAGGTTGCCATGGAAATACAGGAGCCAAGAGGTTTAGGATCAGAGAGATGGAGATGGAGAGGGGGAAAAGAGCAGTTAGGAGGTGACAGGGCAGTAGGGTTTTAAAATTTTTATAGGCAGTTTTGGGGATGGGAGCACAAAGCTAATAATATATATGGAGTCACAGTGATGCACCAGTTTTTGAAGCCATGAGAGGAACTAGGGCCATAGAAGTACCACGGAAATCAGAGAGGCTGGGAAGGGCCACATCACAAAGAACCTAAGGTTCTTGTCAAAGAGCATATTCCTCGTGTTTGCAGATGGGCATCTATGCATCTCCATCCCCCATTTCCTCTGTGGGATACAGGAAGTAGGGAAGAAAGGGTGTCCTAGTTCTGCTAGGACATGGGGCAGTCTGGAATTGACATCACCAGGTTACAGGCCTATCAGCCCCTTAGCCTATCCCAGTCAGCTCCAGGCTGAGGCCTGTTCTTTCCTGTTCTCTCAATGGTCAGAAAACCAACCTGGACATCCTGAAATCCATACGGAATCCCAGGGATCCAGCTCTGCTCCAACAGTGGGAGAAACTGCTGAAGGAGCTACAGGAGGACTGCTGGTAGGAACTGAGTACCCTGCCTGGGGCTGGCTTAGGCTGACCTGGGTGAGGCTCAAACTAGAAACTGGAGGGTCTGCGTAGCACCCAATGGACCCTTAGCCCACAGGAACGCTTCTCAGATTCCCCAGTTGGAACCCACACACGATTGCTTTTCCCGCCCATGCAGAACATCCCTGAACTCCAGTCCAGCACAGGCTTTGCGGCTCCATGCCCACGCTCCATGTCCGTAGCACATGGACAGAACTCCACTCCCTAGAACAGCCCACACCATTATCACGTGGCCTCTTGACATTGCTCACCATATCCAGGGTGCTGTTTCAAGCTCACTGGGAGGTCTCTCTGTGCCCACCCCCACATCCCCCATGGTTAGGTTAGCCTCTTCCCTGGAAAACATCTACCCACAAGAAGTCTTTGGGAACCAACCTAGTACACTACAGGGCTTCAAGGGAGGGAAGATGGCAGCATGAGAGCCTAAATCAGGACCATAATAAGCTAGCTTCCTAGGGAGAGAGCTAAGCATCTCTCCCCCAGGTCAGGCCAGCCATGGGTTGGGTAGAAGCTCCAGGCTAGAAAGAGAACATTGGCCTGCGGTGGGACTACAGTACACGTACCTTCATCCTAACCTGTCCTGGCTGCAGGCGCCCTCTGCCTTGTATGACTGATCAGCCCAGAGCTAACAGCCTGGACAAGAATAAATGGCATCTTCGTAGCCAGCTTCTGCAGCAACTGGCGCAAACGGCCAAGGAAGCCAAGCCAGTGAACATGGTGGCCACGGCAGAGAACTGGTTGCGCCGTCTCAACGCTGTGCTCCCTGAGGTGGGAACTGGCTACACTGGCTGGACAGTGAGGCCCGGAACTGGCCACACAGGTCCTGATGCTCTTCCACCTTGGCAGCCCCAGGAGAGCCTCCCAGATATTCTGATCTGGTTGATGTCCAGGCAGCAGCGAGTGGCCTATGCTCGGGTACCCGCCCACACTGTCCTGTTCTCCCCAGAAGGACCCCTGAGCTCTGGCAAGTTCTGTGGGAAGATTCAGAACCTCTTCTTACAGGTGGGGAAGAAGGAATGTCTTCCAGGGAAGATGTGGTTCCCAAATACCCCAGAGAGAACCCCTGGGATTCCTAGAAAGCCATGTGGGGACCCCACCCTGAGCCCCTGAGGACACAGCCCACATTTTCTTTCCCTGGTCCTGCCTTAAGTAGAACAGAGCTCATACAGTCCCCTAGAGGTAGGGAGGGGGTTGTATTTCTCCTCATGTGAGCTGCTGCCAAGCCCACATCCATGGTAAATGCTCCTCAAATCCCCCTCCCCCTTCATCACTCACATGCCTACACTTGGTCTAACACCTTGTCATCTCTCCTGCAAACCATAACTGGGTAACTTCCAGAACATTCTATGAGTGTAAGATTTGGTACCGGCTCCTCAGATCAGAAGCAAGCTATAACATAAGTCTGACAGAACCCCCTTCTCTCTCAGAGAGGACAAGGGTCTGCATAGCCCCCTTATGGCTCCTATTGCCTCTCAGGGAAAATCCAGCCTGCCCTGTCAACCTAGCCACCTGTATCAACCCTGTCAACAGGCAAGCCACTGTGGGCCTCCCAGGTCCCAAAATAGGCCTGCTCTTTGCCCTTTCCACCATCATGCAGAGCCCCTGTCTTTGTCCAGTGCCTGACTGAATCCTGGCCTCAGCGTGTTCCTCAGGCCCATGGACTCAGTGACACCCTCACTGGGGTACGAGGACTGGGATGCTTAGCAAAGTGCTGGAGCATAGTGATGAAGCAGTAGGCAGTAGATGATAGCTAGTGTCACCAAAGCTACCATCGTCACCTTCCTCAGGCTCCCCAGGTACCTTCTGCCCACCTTCTGCGCCCCTCTCTTTTCTCTTTGCCTGCCGTCTCCCTCTGTGAACACCAGGATAGAACTCAGTCACCTTTCAGTGCTGGCGGTCAGCACAAGCTTTATACTGTTGCAGACTCCAGCACACAGCTTGATGTGAGGGCCCCTGCTCCCAGGACTTGGTCAGAAATGGTGGATGTGGCCCATTCTGCCAAGGCAATTGGTAGCCCTTCCCTCGCCCTCTCCCTCACCCATGCCCCTGTCCCCCTGGGAGTGGCACCCCCGTGGGATTAATCTGCCTCTGGCTCAGTACCCAGAAGGTGAAGGACAGGATATACGCCCAGCCTACCTCCGGGTCTGCATGTGGCTCGGCAATGTCAAACACAGCAAGAATCTGAAGCTGCTCCAGCAAGGCACCATGGTGGTGTATGCGGAGACGGTGAGTGGACAGACATCCGGGGCAACTGGAGGGAGGGTAGAAGGGGCCAAAGCAGGCAAGAGCAGGCCTGACAGCGGGGCATGCAGTTCAGGAAGGAAGGGTAGGGAGACAACATATTGGACCCAAATGTGACAATGAGAGTTCTGCAAGGTAGCAGTGATGACAGTGATTGATCATGGATAGTGCTAGCCTGGTGTCCCTGCTCACATGTTCTAAGAAATCGGGTCTGCGTGGCCCTCTGCTGCCTGGCCACACTGTTCCCGGTGGAAGTTTATTAAGCGCTTTTGCCTAGCATTTTCAAGGCATGTGAACAGATCAGGGCTCCAATTTGTACGGAGTCTCATTTGTCACCAGGAGGGAACTTGGGACCCCTACACACCCTTACCCAGATCTTCAGACCAGACTGGAGGTCATGGGAGTGGGGAAAACCCAGGAAGTGTGGAAGGAGCTAGAGATGAGGCTTCTGACCACAGCACATCAGGAATGTGGGGGGTGGGTGGGGGGGACAGCTGGGAAGACTGCTCTGCCAGGGGCAAGGGATGACCTTTGCTCTTAGGGGGAAGGCTGGCCAAGGAAAGTAGCTCTGCCAGCAGACAGGAAGAAAGGTCTAAGTGTCAGGCTATTGTGTGACCTTATCCGGGGAGATGTGAACAAATGTCCATTCACATCAGACAGGTGGCCCACGACAGAGCAAAGAACCAGTTCTGTCCTGGACCAGTTTGGTGGACAAATGAATTTAACTGGAGTTACTTTCAGAAACATGAGCAGCGTATGGGCAGCCACACTACCAGAAAAGGCTTACTCTCAGCAAATGTTACCTGCACACACACACACACACACACACACACACACACACACACACTGGGAGGAGAGATGGCCATGAGCCTTGTAAGCTGCCCATGTACCCCAAAAAAGGAACAGGTGGCCCTCATCTTGCTAGTCTCCCATAGGTAATCACAGCTGACCAGATTTCAGGACAATAGTCCTGCCATGTCTGGAAGATGGGATTCCATGACACAGGCCTTTTAAGTTAACAGAATTATAAAGGGGGTTTTGGTGGAGTTTTTGTTGTTATTGTCTTCTTTTGTTTTGTTTTGTAGCTAGTTGGCATCTGCATGTAATCTCAGCACTTGGGAGGCTTAGGCAGGAATTCAAGGGGCTACATAAGAAGTACCAGTCAACCATAACTATTTCACAAAAGAAAAATAATGCATTTTGAAACATTGTTATATTTTTAAGTTGTGTGTGTTGATAATATATCATAACACAGTTAGCTCCCTATGTCAACAGGATCTACACTGCTGAACCAGCCATGGCTTAAAAATGCAGTCAAGTCTGTGATGGCTGTGTCTATACTATCTTAGTTAGGGTTTTACTGCTGTGAACAGACACCATGACCAAGGCAACTCTTGTAAGGACAACATTCAATTGGGGCTGGTTTACAGGTTCAGAGGTTCAGTCCATTATCATCAAGGTGGGAACATGGCAACATCCAGGCAGGCATGGTGCAGGAGGAGCTGAGAGTTCTACATCTTCATCTGAAGCCCTCTTAGAGAAGACTGACTTCCAGGCATTCCAGGATGCGGATCTCAAACCCCACACCCACAGTGACACACTTCCTCCAACAAAGCCACACATACTCTAACAAGCCCATACCTCCAAATAGTGCCACCCCCTGGGCCAAGCATCTTCAAACCACCACATATACCAAACATGAATATACCTGTTTCCCTGTCACGTGACCTTAACAATACACTAGAATAACTGCTGACATCGCGCTGACGTTGGATTAGGTCTTATGCCGAGTGCAGATGACTTAAAGTGTATGTTATACACAGATGCTAGGCCATTTTAAAATATAAGGGACTAGAGCATAAGTTGCGGTACCCAGGGACAATCTGGAACCAATTCCCTGAGGTTGTCAATGGATAGCTTTGTCTAAGCAGTCCTGCATAAGGCAGGGGGAGAGGTAGACGGACGGAGTTGTAGGAGAAAAGACCTGGGGTAGCACAGAAGGGTGAGTGTATAGCAGGACTGGATTTCTCATGTCTGCAGTGACTAGGGAGTCACATTGAAGACGCAGGCAAACGTCTCTGATAGTTGAGCAATGTCAAGTAGTGTTGATTGCTGAGCCTCAGTCTCCTAGATTCAGTTAGAGCTATGACCCCGTCTTGCTTGACTACCTCATTTCTAAAGGTTGGGGATCAAGAGTCTCAACATCCCCAATGCTGGGAGGTTGGTGAAAGAGGTATGGGCACTGACTGGGACTCTGCTCCCCCAGTATGAGAATCAGGCCAAGATCAAAGAGGACTGGGGACAGCAAGGGCTATACCACTGCCCCAACTTCTCAGATGTCATGGGGCACAAGGCGCTCCCCAAGACAGACTTCAAGGCTCCCTCAGGATGGCATTGGAAGGACGACTGGGTAGTGGAGCCTCAGAGGAGGTAAGGCTGGTACAAGCATGTCTCACCTGTGAGGGCTAGTCAGTGGAACTTAGCGTGGGTCCCAAGCCACAGTTATAGTCCCTGTGAGTGGGACTACATAAGACCAACAGCCCTGCCCAATACCCTGTCTGTGTACCAGGCTCTGCCTTGCTCAAGGGAGATGGGATGTCACATAGGGGTGCTTAGGCAGCAGAGATGACCCTGGGAGTTCAGCTCTGGGAACTTGGGGTATCACTGCTGCCCAGACTCCTCCTGGACATAGACATCAACAAGAGCCAGGTGTTGGAAGAGGTATATGAGAACCAGACTCGAAATGCCACAGGTGCCTGGGTGCCCGCAGCCATCCCCAACACGGACGTGGTAAGCGTCTCCATCTTGCCATAGGTTACATGGGGAAAGGCAAGGACCAGATGGGAAAAATCAGAAATTGGGGTGGCTTAGCAGCAAGAGCTAGAGCTATGTCTGAGCTCTGTTCTGTATAAGTGTTGGGACCCCAGATAAGCATTTCAGCACCAACGAAGGGGCTGTACTCAAGGATGGCAAGCTGCAGATACCTTAAATAGGATGACAGAAAGAACTAGGTACTGTGGCGCCTGCTTGTAGTGCAGCTGTTCTGGAAGATGGGGCAGAAAGATCACTTGACTCCAGGAGTTAGAGTTTGAGCCTGAATTGTATCCATAGTACCCACATAAAGAGCCAGACATGGTGTTATGTACCCATGATCCTAGCAGTGGGGCGGCAGACACAGGTAGGAGAGGCAAGCACAGGCCCCTAGTGCTTGCTGGTCAGAAAGCCTAACTTAACAGGCAAAGCCCCAGATCCCAGTAGAAGACACTGTCTCAAAAACTAAGGGGGATGGGCTTCTGAGCAACAAGAATGATACCCAGCCTCCACACACATGAGCACGTGTGCACACCCAGCCCCCACTCCCACATGCACACGTGCACACACACGCACTTTATTACGACAGAAATATTCTGTCCTCTTGATCACTCTTGACCACAAAAAAGATGGTACCACGATATAGGAGCCAGCCTTTGAATTTTGTTTCATTTTAATGGAGGCTACAGGTCACTGAGTAGAACCATGCAAGTCAATGCAACAAGGAGAGAGCCATGGTGGCCGCAGAAGGAGAAAGATTTTCTGGCCTGGAGGGTGGCTGGAGGGTCGATGATAGGCGTGCATGTGTGAAAATGAGTGAAGGCAAATTCCATCTACCTCACGTGGCCCTCCTCCATCCTCAACATCCCCACAGAATGGACAGCCTGTGGAAGCCCTGGAGAATGTGAAGTGTCCCCAAGGCTGGCACTTTAAGAAGAACTGGATTGTGGAGCTCAACCATGCAGTGGACAGTGAAGGTCAGTCTCCGGACAAGTCACGCACCAAGGCCTGGGACCCTGAAACATTCAAGTCTGGTTCTTCTGGAAGCCTCTGAGTGGCCAAGCCCTCGGGCAGGATGCGTCTGAATTTCTGGGGTTCCCAGCCTCTAGGGAATAGTCATATATTCATAGATATAGACCCTAGTGTTGAGATGCAGTAGGCACCTCCCAAGGCCTGACCCAGAGCAAACCTGGTGGGTGGATGCCTGCGGACATGGATTTAGGTATAGAGTCCTAGTTTACCCAAAGTGGCTCTGGGAAAGGAGCAGTGGATTGGAAATCTTGAGGCCTAGCCCCAGACACAAGCAATTGCTGCAGCCAGTCCCGGGTAGTCTAAATTACACAATTTAAGCACATCTTCCTGGACATGAAGACTCCTCTGTGCCCAGGACCTGTCTTCCTAGGGCCCTTTTCTCAGGCATGTCAAAGCCCCCAAGTCTGCAGGTTCAAGTGGACCCAGAGGCTATGATGCTGCCCTTGCAGGCTGGGAGTATGGAGTGGGGATCCCACCCTCCGGCCTGCCTCAGATCTGGAACTCAGTGGAAAAGACTTACCACTCATGCCGCCGGCGACGGTGGGTGCGCGTGCGCTTTCGGAATCGCAGGGAGCTGGGCCAGGAGCTGAGCCAGGAGCAGGAGACCCTCTCCTTCCTGCAGATGGTGAAGCATTTACAGCAAGGGTCCTGGTTGGGACACAGGCAGGGGTGGCTTGTGAAGCAGGGACAGGAACATGATTCTAAGACCCTACGTTCTTCCCTGCAGCAAGACCTCTCTGAGGAGGGAAAGGAAGGCTGGGAGTATGGCACATTCGACTCCAGGTTCCACCTGGACCCTCAGCCCACAAGCCGGTTCCGACGCCGCTGCTGGCACCGAAGGCTGGCGCCCAACAAGGACAGGGGTGTAGCTCCCATATTCCTCCTGGAGGGATCCTTGGTAAGGCTTCCCTGCTTCAGGTGACATTTATTACTCCATATCCCAGAGGATAGAGAACACATATCCCTGACCCTAGCTGACCGGGCCCCAACCCTTCAAGTTTGGCGGGTGACATCTGTGGAGAGGTAGTGAGGGGCTAGGGCCTGGAGAAAAGTCAGGAAGGCCTTTGAATTTAAGGGGGGGAGCTTTCTGGGTACAGGCAGTGGAGCAGAAAAAACAACCTAAGAAGGAAATGGAGAAGACGTCGTGGCAGCTCTGGAAGGACTGGAAGCACACCCCGGAGGATCCCCGGATTCCCACCACACCTTTCATCTACTGCATCCTCAACAGTAAGCCTGGCCTGGGAGTCTACTGAGTGACCCCAGAGGCCAGGGCCGGAGGCCAGGGAGTAGGGAGGAGCATGTGAGGAGTCTGGGGACAGGTAATGAAGGAGACTTCTCTTTACCCAGAACCTCACTACTACCAGCTCTTCTGCTATATCTACCAGGCCCGGAATCTGATGTACAACCAGATCTTGACCTTTCAGGGTAGGAACGCCCCTTTGTCATTCAGCCCTGTCTCCTATTCCTCAAAACCTGGCGACATACCCACATAAGACCATGATGAAATTGTGACAAAGATGGAGACCTCTCTCCCAAGAAGCTTGTCTTAGGGTTGCTACTGTTGGGATACAACACCATGACCAAAAGCAACTTGGAAAGGAAAGGGTTAATCTCCTTCACACTTCCATATGACAGCTTATCATCCAAAGCAATGAGGGCAGGAACTCAAACAGGCCAGGAACCAGGAAGCAGGAGATGATACAGGAGTCATAGAAGAGTGTTGCTTACTGACTAGAACCCAGGACCACCAGCCCAAGGATGGCAGCACCCACCATAGGTTTGACCTTCCTTTCCCCCATCAATCACTAATTAAGAAAATGCCCAACAAGCTTGTCTACAGCCTGGTCTTATGGAAGCAGTCTCTCATTGAGGCTCTCTACTCTGCAGTCACTCTAACTTGTGTCAAGCTGACACAACACTAGCCAGTGCAAAGCTAATGACTGTTGTTTGTGGGGAAAGACCCACCAAGCGAAGACTACAAACCCAGAGTGCTCTTAAGCTATGACCTCAGTGCTCTATAATTTGAAGGGGGGAGTTAAGGAACTCAGTCACTGAGCTGGGACCCCTTAGTAGGCCTAGAAGAGGGAGGAACTTGTATGGCAGAGACCGGAAGAAGGGTGACGCGTGGGATGTGAAGGAGAGCAATATGCTGGGCTGGAGAGAGAATTCGGTGGCTAAGAGCACTGACTGCTCTTTCAGAGGTTCTGGGTTCAATTCTCAGCACTGAAATGGCAACTCACAACTGTCTGTAACTCCAGTTCTAGGGGATCCAATACGCTCCCACAGATATATAGATGCAAATACAGATATAGATACGTGCAGGCAAAACACAAATGCACACAAAATAAGAAAGGACAGACAGACAGACAGACAGACAGACAGACAGACAGACATGCTGGGGAACCACATCACTTGAGGCTTTGTAGACGAGAGAAAGGAAAGAGACCCCATGTAAGGAAGAACCACAGAGCCATTTAGGAGGCAAGCGGATTACTTCTCCCGTGTCCTGTTAATGGCACTGTTTATAGAAGATAAGCAATGGCTGTCAGGGACCTAGGATGTTTGCTGAGATCTGTGTCCCTTGAGCATCACCAGCCATATCAAAGGAGTCACTGCTGCTGTGGACGATCAGTAAGGAGACAGCTTATCCTAGACCTCCTCCATCCCTGTGAAAGTCAGGCTGTAACCATAGTGGGCTTGGCATTTCTATGGATGGAAGCAAAGGTCCCCCTGGCCTGTGAGGCATGCACACGATCTGCAGTGCCTGCATTCTAGGAGGGCTGCATTCTACAAGGGCTCACAGCCACAGGGGCTGCCTGTCCTGAGTCTCCTAGGTCTAACGGCTGCTGCTGCAGAGGAGAGGAGAACCTCATTTGGCAGCTTAGAGTTGTGACGTCCTGCTCTCCCTCCATGATCTAGAACCTTTCATCCAAGTGGTCTTCCTGAACCATAGCTTGTGCACCCAGACCCTGCGAAGCTCTGCAGCTCCGACGTGGTCCCAGACACTCATCTTCCAGCACCTTCTGCTGTTTGAAGACCCCAAAGATACCAGAGAGAACCCCCCACTTGTGGTGCTGGAACTGTGGCAGCATGACTCACAGGTACAGCAGACTGTGCTTAAGGGAGGAAGACCTACCTCTCAGCCTTGCTTCCGGATAGTGGTGTATTTTAGAACAAGTGAGGCTATGTATACACGTTACTGTGGGGCCCTTCCTCCTCAGAAGCCCATGCTGGTAGCCTGGTTGATCCTCTATATTCTATGAGCTCCCTTCTCTTCTAGGGAAACAAGATCTTGTGGGGACGGAGCATGTGGCCCCCAGTTGTCTGGCTGGGCCTCCAAGACTGGGTCTTTACCCCCCTGAGGTGGCGCCCCCTTGTAAGAGAGTTGGGAGAGGAAGAGGGTGAGATCTTGGCATCCTGTGAGCTGATCTTAGAGACACAGGTACAGACTGGAAGAGCAGGGCTCATGCTCTCCCTGCCCTACTCCCGCCTCCAGGTTTCCACAAACACCAGGGCCCTCACCTTCCCCTCACAGGGGTCTGAGGCTTAATATGGATTCGGTGCTGTCAACCTGGCCAACCTCCCCCATTAAGTCCCGTCCAACTTCAACCCATGGTTCCGGGACATATTAGGATGGGGATAGGAGCAGTGGTACCAGCCCCCAGGGCCTCATGCTCTGATTTCCCTCTCCTGCCCTCCAGAAGCTGAAAGAGTTACATCAGCCAATCCTAAGCATCCCCTGTAAGAACGGGATTTACATGCTTCCCAAGAACATCCGGCCCAGTGTGAAAATGATGGCCATTGAGGTGTGTGCAGATGGGGAGAGATGAGCAGCGAGAAGCCTTTCCCAGAGCAGCCTGGAGCTCTTGGGGAGGCTTTTCTGAAAACCTGACCTAAAGTTTGAAGCCTAAGAACACGTTCTCTGAAGAGAATCGAGGGCAGAGGCTTAGACAATATGGCGAGTCAGGCAGAGGGCAGGAGACCTGGGATCATCTTGTACTGACCCCTGTGTACCAGGGACTGACTTCCTGGGGAAGAATTAGAGGCTCAGAGATGACATATTGTAGAGAGAGTGATCAGAGACTAAGTGACAGACCTTGATTTAACCCATCCCTGGTTGAGACCAAATGGAGGTCCCCACATTGATTATTCTGTGCCCTGTTCCAATTTGTGGTTTGTTCCCCATTCTGCCCCCTAGAAGGGTCTGGTGAAGAGTTCAGAAATTCCTTTGTCAGTTGAGAGAGAAATTACAGGGTGCTGAGTCACTGGTTGGTCATGGAGCAGGGACACAAGTCAGCAATAAGCTAAATGGTAATATGGACTCTGAAAAATCTGGGTACCATCTGCTTCTGTGGGCTCTAGAGGAAGCCAGTCTCAGGACCTCAAACGTCTGAGAACTGTCTGGAGCCAGCAAGCCAGCAGTGAGCAGGTTTACTGCTTACCGGCGTGGAGGCCGGGGGGGGGGGGGGGGGGGGGGGGGGGGAGGGCAGATTCAGCTGGTGCTTAGATGACACCTTCTTCACGGAGAGAGCAGCCAGCAGCCAGATCTTGAGAACCAGCCTGTCCACTCACAGGGCAGAGCAACCTGGGGGACCCTCAGATTCTAGCTCTGTCACTGCCTCGTTCCTAACCTTGGCATGCTTCCTGATGCCAGTTTGACCCCACACACACACACCCTGACTAAGAGGTGCTGTCTGCCCCTTGCCCTGGTTCTGGCAGATTATGGCCTGGGGCCTTCGGAACATGACGAAGGTGCGTTACCCTCAGCTCCTGCTGGAATGTGGGGAAGAATCCCTGCGGACAGAACCCATTAGAAACTTCCAGGAGAACCCCAACTTCCCTACGTCCACCTTCTTCTTCACAGTGGTAAGAGGCCCTGGGCAGGGGCTGAACAGTCTCCTCCTCTTGAGGGGCCTCACCTGCCCCTCTTTGGGCTTGTAGTTCATGCCTATGGAGGAGACCCACGCACAGCCCCTGGTGGTGAAAGTGGTGGACAACCAGGAATATGGCCAGCAGATTGTGGTCGGACAAGCCAATATTGACTTCCTCCAGCCCTATTTCTGTGACCCCTGGTCTCTGAACTACACAACTGTCAAGCTGCCAAGTAGGATTCTTTCTCCTGGCCTTGTCTCTTCTCTCTCCAGGAAGCCCTCAATAGGAGTAGGGTGGGACCCTGGCTCCTTTGTGGGGTTCATGCCCTTCTGCCTTGGCTTCTCCCTTCCTGAGGCTCATGACTGTGTTCTCTCCACAGCTCTGTCTATAAAGAAGCCTGATACTGTGAGTAAAGGTCCCAGGCTACCTTTTCTCTTACCTTTTACGTGAACGATCTTGTCCCTGTAGAGAGGCATCTGTTAAACATTCCTATGAGGTGGCTTAACTCTACAAGAGAAGGCTAAGGGTTTGGTCCTCAGTCAGGTCTGCATGTGAGAATCTCCTGAGTGGGGGCCGTGCTAGGAGGAGAGAGGGTCACATGTGTTTACGGCTGGTCTTGAACTTGCTGTGTAGTAGAGGAAAAACTTGAACTCCCAAACTTCTTGCCTCCTCCCAGATGCTGGGATTACAGGTATTCATCCAGCTCACCTATGCTTTTATTTATTATTGTGTCTTCATCTGTGTGTGGGGTACATGTGGTGTGGGCGTGTGTGCATGTGTGCGCGTGCATAAGCCAGACAGAACTCCACCTTGCTTTTTGAGCAACTGTGATGGTTAACCATTTTTACAGAGGTTCAAGAATTTTAGATTCTCATGCTCTGGGCATGTCTGTGAGGGTTATCTAGATGAGTGTAATGGGTTGGGAGGACCCACGGTGAGTCTGGGTGGCAGCATCCCGGGAGGACCCATGGTGAGTCTGGGTGGCAGCATCCCGGGAGGACCCATGGTGAGTCTGGGTGGCCGCATCCCGGGAGGACCCACGGTGAGTCTGGGTGGCAGCATCCCGGGAGGACCCACGGTGAGTCTGGGTGGCAGCATCCCGGCAGGACCCACGGTGAGTCTGGGTGGCAGCATCCCGTGGGTTGGGGTCCTACATGGAATCAAAAAGAGAGAGCTGAGCAATGGCATTTATCACTGCTTCCCAAATTCATATGCAATGAAACCAGCTGTCTCAGGCACCAGGCCCTGTCTCTTTCTCGCCATGATGTCTGGAACCGTGAGCCAGAATAATCCCTTCTTCCCATAAGTTGCTTCTTGTCAGGTATTTGATCACAGCACCAAGAAAACTAACATACAAGCATTGTGTGGACTAAGACCTCCTGACCTGAACCCCTGGCCCCTGAAGGATCCTGATAGAGTTGCCAGTCATTAAGATTTTGTCCCAAGTCCCTCTACCCCTAATGTATCATGACTATAGCTCTCAGGCAAGAGCAACACATTTTAATACATAGCAGTCCCTAAATGCCTTCATCAAAAGCAGACGCAGCCAGGCATAGCACTCCATGCCTGTAATCCCAGCACTCAGAAAGACGGGACAGGAAGATTGCAGGTCTGAGACAGCCTGCACTACATAAGCAAGACACTGTCTCAAAAGAACAAGGACTAGGGGATGTACCTTGAGTGACAGGTTGTTTGTCTAGAGTGAACAGACCCTGAGTTCCATACCTAACACAAGACATGGGAGGAAGGGAAGGTTGATTTTGCTGGGTGGGCCATAGTAGTTACGACCGTAATCCCAGCAATGGAGAGGCTGAGGCAGGAGGATCATAGCCTAGGTACATGGTGAGACTCTTGCAAAATTAAATAAATAAGTAAATAAATAAATAAATATTCTGCCTCCTCGGGTTCAGAGTGTGAGGTTCTGCATTTCTGAGTACTTTTGAGTCCTGTCCATCCAGATGGACACATGGGGGTCCTCTCTTCCCCCTCCCATCTCTGAACTGACAGGCCTATGGAAAGGCCCCGGGGGAGGGGGGGCAGGAGAGCCGGGTGAGCCTGCTCAGCCTGCCGTTGCCATTCTTCTCGGACCTTCCTCCCTTTTCAGTTCCTAGACTTTGTCTACAAGAAGTTCTGGTTCGATTCCAGCAAAGACGAGGTAAAGCAGACTCAGACCAAGGAACGAGGGACAACCCCAATCAATTCAGGGAGGCGGGGTGGGCTCTAGCCTTGCCTGGGGGCCAGCAAAGGCCTCTTCTCGGTCAGGACGACTATGAGCAGGAGGTGGACTGGTGGAGCAAGCTATCCTGGGCCACGGGCAATGCAGACAAATCCCTGAAGTACAACTACAAAAGCTACCACACCCTAAAGGTTTGGAGGGTCCTGGGAAAGGGGGAGAACAGAGCCTCCATTGGGAGGGGCTAGAGACTTGGCCTTGTTTTGTCAGGGAACCGCCAAATGGCAGAACAGTTTGGTTTTGCCTTGTCTGAAATAAGATCCTGTGTAGTGCAAGCAGGTCTCCAACTTGCTTGGTAGGTGCAGATGAACTTGAACGCCTGAGTTTTCGGCCTTTACCTCCTGAGTGCTAGAACTACAGGCATGCACCACCACACTCGGCTTAGAGCAGGGATCCTGTTAAACATTCTCTCAGATCTTCGAACTTTAATAGGAGAAGCCCAAGGTGGACAGCCCTGTGGTAGGAGAATTCAAGATATGTCAAAGAAGCCAAAGAATCTTGGCTACCTGTCTTTCTGTACCCCATCTATCACCAAAGGAGGGGGACTTTCTACATTGTCCCCTAAGAATACCAGGGACCCTTCCAACAGCTGCTCCATCTGAAGCAGATAGTATGGCTACTGGCAGGGCAAACTCTTAGGGAAAGGCTTGGGTGCTGGGAGTCTCTTCAGCTCTTGATTCTCCAAATGGCTCCTCAGCAGCCCAGGTCCTGCATACACCCCTCAGGTATATGACTGTGAGCTGGAGGCCGTTCAGGCCTTCCAGGGCCTGCAGGACTTTTGCCAGACCTTCAAACTTTACCAAGAGAAGCCCAAGGTGGACAGTCCTGTGGTAGGGGAATTCAAGGTATGTCTATGCTAGTTTGGCTACCTGTCTCTCTGTAGCCCATCTGCCCCCAAAATCTTTAATAAAAGCCCTGGCTCTGCACATCTCTGAGGAAGATGAGCCAGAGACTGAGAAACAGCTACAGAAGTAGAGCAACACAGATCGGTCTATGCGGGCAGGGAACGAGGAAGGCAAGACCTTCAGACTCCTAGCTCTGGCTCATGCTGGTCCCCCAAAGACACAGATGTGTTCAAACCTGAAGGGATGGGTATGTAGAGTTGATATCAGCATAGTCTGGGAACACCAAGTAGCTTTGAGTGCTTTGCCCAGTGGCCCCCTTTAAACTCAATGGTCCCTGCCTGAAGACTCCTGCTGCTTACCCTTAGCCTAACCACCCCTCCCCCAGTTATACCCAGGTGGCTGGGATTGGGGTACACTTTACAAAGTTAGGCTAGCACTGCCAACGCCTTCTCACCCCCCAGGGCCTCTTCCGCATCTACCCCTTTCCTGAGGACCCGGATGCCCCTAAACCCCCACGACAGTTCTCGGCTTGGCCTGAGATTGAGGACTTCCCTCAGATGTGCTTGGTACGGGTGTACCTGATACGAGCCATCAACCTGCAGCCACAGGACTACAATGGCCTGGTAAAAAAAAAAAAAAAAAGTCCCATCTGTCACCAGTGACCCCAACTGAATGCCCAAATGTCTTGGGCTGTTTACACTCACACAGTCACCCCCAAGGATTCCACACAGTCCATTCCCACCCTGCTCCGATGCTCCTACCCTCCCTGACCAACCCTGACTCCCCTCTTCCTTCCTTCCCAGTGTGACCCTTATGTGATCCTGAAACTAGGACAGACAAAACTTGGCAGCCGGGACTCCTACCACCCCAACACTCTGGATCCCATCTTTGGCATGTGAGCCGCCCCTAGTCACCCCCCCAGCCTTCTTTCTAGTTCTCCATGCTGTGCTGGAGGGCAGCTCCAGCAAGCAGAGGCATTCCTTCAGAGCCTCCAAGATCCCTGTAAGCAGCACCTCACTCTTAGTGACTCGCCAGGTGGAAGATAAATGAATGACCCACCACCTTTTCCCAAAGAAAGGTGCTCACCCAGGCCTCCATACCCCGGCCATCTTACTTTCAAGCTACTTTCAGCTCAGGGGAACGGGGTGCTGGGTGGACAAAGGCCTTTCTAGCCTGTGCTCTGCTGCCCACGTTCCCTGTGAATGAAGAAAGAGGTGAAGCAGGGACACTTGGGTTGAGATGCTAGCCAGTGAGGCAGAGAGTACCAGTCCGCAGCCTCTTTGCGATGCCTCTTCCCTAGGATGTACGAGCTTACCTGTAACATCCCGCTGGAGAAGGACCTGGAGATCCAGCTGTATGATTTTGACCTAATTACTTCTGATGATGAAATTGGAACTACAGTCATTGACCTTGAGAACCGACTCCTGTCTGGCTTTGGGGCCCGTTGTGGGCTCTCTAAATCCTACTGCAAGTGAGTGTGGACCCATTCAGCAAACAAGCTGGGTGAGGGGAGCCGTGAACCCACAGCTTCCTAAGAAGTAGCTGGGAACTGGGCTAGACCTGCCTCTTTGCCCATGCTTCCAGCACCCTCACCTGCAGCTCAACCCAGGTGGGAAGGACCTGTTCCTTCCCTTTGTCCCTCTTGGATACTCCCACAGGTCAGGGCCCTTTAAGTGGAGGGATCAGATGACCCCGAGCTACCTTCTCTACCGCTATGCCAAACAGAAAGGGCTGCCTCCACCTGTATTTGACCTTGAGGGAGATTCAATTTACTACAATGGGGAAAAATTCAAGTTGCAGAGCTTTGGTGAGCACAGGTGTAGCCTCTGGGAACCAGTAAGGACCCGGGCAGAGGGAGAAGAGAGGAGGGCAGGAGAGGAGAGTTTGCCCTTGGTTAGAGAGCAACATCTTTCCCCTTGTCATAGAAAGTGATGGTAGCCAAACATCCTGGCAGGGCTGGGAAAGGTGCTCAGACAGGAAATCTAATGACATCATGATCCTGTCTCCAATCCAGAGTCCACACCCCCTACCTATGAGAATTTGGGGCCTAAGAAGGAGCGCCTGGCGCTGTACATCCTGAACACCCAGGGACTGGTTCCTGAGCATGTAGAGACTCGCACACTATACAGTAACAGCCAGCCAGGTATTGACCAGGTATGTGAAGAAGAGGCTGTTCCTGCCTCCTATGGACTGAACTGGACCAGGAGACATGGGTGTCCATCCACCCAGGACACCGTCCACAGTGAGAGGCAAGGGCAGGCCAACAGCTCACGTAAGTGCACAGACAGGAGCCAAGCACGGTTTGCACATTAGTAGGAAAGACGCCCCAGCGGCAAGAACCTCACACCTGGAAGGGCCGTTAGAAATGGAGGCCTCACAACAGTTGTGGAAAGCTCTCGGCTGTCCTAGAAAACCAACAGTGCCACTGTTGTAATCTCCTGGGTGTAGGGAGGTGGTATCATAGATCAGAGGGTACAGATACACAAACCACAGTTCCGGCCACTTAACTGCAGGCTGTCTTCTCTATGGCAAAGAACCTGGGGACACAGAACCGCCCCCCACCAAGGGCATCTTACTTATCCCTCGCTGTCCAACCATAAAGTTGGCTTCATCTTCTCTAAATCTTTCATATTCATGAAGTCTTCTACTGAGAAAAATTTAAAATAACCATCCTCATTAAACTGACTTTCTCAAACGGGTCAACTTAGAAAAATTAAAGTGGGTCAGTGGTTTGACAGGCAGAACATATTTCTTTACCTGTTTCCCAAGGCTGGGGGTGCCACCATTTCCCTTCCGCCTCTTACCATTTACACCACTAATTCTCATATTGTCCCCACCCCACCCTCTGAAGTCTCTACTTTGTGGCCGGCTTAACATCCTTGGGCTGTGGCCACACAACACAAAGGGCCTTCCTATCTAGTTTCCCCTTACTTAGGGCTTCCATGCTGTGAGTAAATGAGGCCCAGCCCCAGCATGGATCCTACCAACAGGCCGTCTAGCATGACCTCCTCACTCTCTATCCAGCCATAAGTGAGAGCCCAACGCCCACATGCTCTCCGAGCCTGATCCTTCACCCCTATTCACTTGCCTTCTTAGCCAAAAGCTAATGGAGCTGGGAGGTGGTCACTGTCACCTCTCAGGTGACACTTGTCATCCCTAAGCCCTGCCCCTGGGTGGTGGACCAATCCATATGTCACACCCTCATGCCATCCAAGTCCAAAGAGACCAGCAACCCCAAACCAGCAAATCCATTCTGACTCTAGGGAAAAATACAAATGTGGGTGGATATTTTCCCCAAGATGCTGGGGCCTCCTGGGCCACGAGTCAACATCAGCCCCAGGAAGCCTAAACGGTGAGTACACTAAAGCTCTGTCCCTGAGCATGGAGCTTCAGCTCAGCCCCCAAGGGTACAGGGTGCCTCTGCCCACAAGCCCGTGCAGAAGGAATTCTTAATCAAGTTTAGAAAGAGCTTTACTGCCCAAGTCCAAGCTCCGTGGGCAGCTCCTCCCTCAGCAGGCTGTTTGTGGCTGTGGGGCTGGTCCTCACCCCAGCCTCAGAGCACAGTGGCTACAGGTACCAACTGCGCTGTATCATCTGGAGCACAGCCGAAGTGGACCTTGTCCGAGAGACCTTCAGTAGAGAGAAAATGAGTGATATCTACGTGAAAGGGTAAGGCAGGCAGGGGAGGAGGGCTCCAGAGGGCCTCCTAGATCTCTGGTTTTGACAGCCTGATGGAGCCTTGTCTAGGGGATGGGGACCACACACAGGAGCCCCAGGTGAAAGGACTCTGTCCCCAGGTGGCTCTTTGGGCTAGAGAAGGATGCTCAGAAGACAGATGTCCACTACCACTCCTTCACTGGAGAGGCCACCTTTAACTGGAGATTCATCTTTACCATGGACTATCTGACAGCCGAGCGTGTATGCGTCCAAAGCCACAAGGTAAGGAAGGGGGTAAGAAGGAGAAAGGGGAAAGAGCCCTAGGCTCCAAGAGATTTTCCCCTCCTTTCAGAGACCTGCAAGCTGTTATAGGATGTTAGGACATGTCCTCAGGCAGAACCCCTCTTCCTTGATAGTCTGTCACTAGTGGACAAGTGGGTATCTGAGGGAAATGTCCAAGAGGCAGGCCACTAGCAGCCTTCTGCTATCCTCCAGGACTACATATGGAGCCTGGATCCCACGTCAATGAAGTTTCCAGCCCGGCTCATCATCCAGATATGGGACAATGACTTCTTTTCCCCAGATGACTTCTTAGGTGAGGTCCTGATGGAGGGTTTGTGACATGGGACGAGGAACTCATTTTGCTAACAACAGCCTTTCTGTGAGTTCAGGGGTCTTGGAGCTGGATTTATCGGATATGCCCCTTCCGGCTCGGAACATCAGGCAATGCTCCCTCAAGATGATGGAGAGTGACTCCAAATGGCCCTTCACCCCACATAAGCGTATCTCTCTCTTTAAGAAGACCAATGTAACTGGATGGTGGCCTTGTCAGGTCCAAGAGGGTGACAAGTGGCGTTTGTCGGTAGGGGCTGGGGAATGTGTTTAGTGAATAGGACCTCTCTAGCAAACTTCTGGGGGTTGTAGCCAAACCTCTTTTCCTTTGTGGAGGCAGGGAAGTGGTCCTGAAATGACCTTGCCCTACTCTCTGACACAGCAGCCCCTGCTCCGTCCTTTGGTGTTCCTAGGGGAAAGTCAACATGACCCTTGAGATGCTGCCAGAGAAGGAAGCTCTAATCAGGCCAGCAGGGCGAGGCCAGTCTGAACCCAACCAGTTCCCTACACTTCATCCTCCTGAGTAAGGGCCCTGGAGGGTGGAGGTGCAAGCCCAGTTTTCTCCTCCTTGGTATAGGGTGATGGCTGGTGGGCCTCCATGTAGAAAGGACAGCTACTTCCTCCTACATAGTTAAGTTTACATTAGAAAATAGGACTTGAGATTGGCTCCCCAACCTGTTAAGAAAGGGAAGCCCTCAGCTCTGGATCACTTGACCTGAAGGTTGCTCTTGCCCTCCGTTCCTGGTGTCTACTGTCACGGGCAGGCGAAACGACGCCTCTTTACTGTGGTACCGGTCACCTATTAAAAACTTCTGCTATGTAATCTGCAAACGCTACCGCTCCAAGATCATATGCCTAGTGGTGACGCTGGTTATAGGGATTGTACTGTTCAACTTCGTCTATTCCGCTCCGGTGAGTGCTAACCACGGGGAAGGGCAAAGGCACTGGCCACTCCTGCACTACCTCTCAGAACACATTCAAGTTACTATTTAGGCTACTCTGGTGTCTCTTTTCTCTAGAACTATTTGGCCATGACCTGGATCAAACCCAAACTTCGGATGTATCCTCCCATTAAAATAGTCAACCTCATCGGTTCGGTGAACACCAGCAATATCAACTCTTCCATTTTTACCATGGAGGGCTCAAAGCTAAAGCCTTTAAAAGACCACGGGCCAACGTTGGGCCACGTACCCAGGGATCTTGCAAGAGATATCTTCCCAGAGATTCTAGCTCCATGATCTGACCTTCCTTTCTCTCACCTGCCAAGTACTCTGTGCCTCGGGTTTCCTGGCAGATTCTTGTTTGCGTCTTCTAGGGCATGTCCAAGGGGCTATGCACACTCTGACTCGTGTTTAGAGACCACTTCTTACAAGAAGAACAGAGCTGTAATTTTTCACTGAAATAAATTTGTTTTTCTAACAGAGCCACCTTAAGACTTGGGGGTTGGGATCGAAGATGATGTGAAAGGCCACATTTACATCCCATCCAGTCCTGGGAAGGGGAAGGGGAACTGTCCACGTGTGAGTGCACGGGGTCAGGCACCACCTCCTCCAGCACACACTCTGGGGTTACAAGACCCAGAAAGACAGCCTCTCTCGTCATGGAAGTCATTTGCTTCTGCAACAAAAAACAAAAGCTGGGGCAGGATGTAGGATGCTGAATGGGTAGGTTTTGTTTTTAATTGGTTTGGTTTTCTGTTTTTAATTTTTTGAGACAGAGTTTTTCTGTGTAGTTTTGTCTGTCCTGGAACTTGCTCCATAGACCAGGCTGGCCTTGAACTCAAGAGATCCACTGGCCTTTGCCTCTGAGTACCGGGATTAAAGGTGTGTACATGGGTGGTTTTCTTATACACATTTCTCAAAAGGGAAAAGACTAGTTCCCAGGCTACACGGGGACTGCAAAGCCTATCTTCTGTCTTCCATTAAAGCATCAAGGTGCCCATGAGTAGGAGTCATGCTAACCTGACTCACTCTCTCACTTTTCCTGTGAGCAAATCCTTTCAGTCTATGGCTATGAGCGTCCTCTCAACAGGCCACTTAGGTCCTCTACCACAGGATCCACCCATGCTCCCTTTGAGCACAAACAGATAAAACTACCATTTCTTTTCAGAACTCCTGGTCCGAGGGCCAACCTCTATATCCCAATTTGTTCCCTGGCCCTCACACCCTTAAGCTATTCTGCTACTGGGGGAGGGTGTTAGACTTTCTGCGCCCCATATTTTTTTCTCCTGCATAAGGGCAACATAGACTATCCTGCTTAATTAAAGACATGAGGCTTTTAACGTCTTTAATGTCTACATGGGAAAGACGAGGCTAAGAAGATGAACTCTCACCTGCAGCCAGGGTGACCCTTCTTCCTAGTCTACAGATGGATGGGGTGAGGGTTTTCCCAACCATCCAGGAAGGACAGGGTAAGAGTGGACACACCCGAGGCTCAGGAGAAAGGCTGGAGTCCCCAAACCAAGCACGCTCTACAAGAAGGCCACTGAGCCAGAACTCATGATTGGTTCCATCAGCTACTTTATGAAGACTTTTCCTTGGGCTACAGAGAACTCTGTCAGGCCCTCCAGGGAGACTAGCCTGTAACCAATTTAACCACAGGGTGGATAGGTGAGCAGCATGTGACACTTGTAGAATAAGGCAGTGTAATAGGTGACACACAAGGGCACTCAAGCTGTGCTGCTGCTCGATGACCAGAACTTTTCCAGGCACAGAGGACGAAGGGCTTTCCGTTCACTGCTGCTTCTCAGTAAGAGGCCAAATATCACGGGGGCGTGTCCAGGGAATAAGAAGAAAGCTGCTTTTCACATCCAACATTCAAAGCAGGATCCCAAGAATCAGGACACACACAAAACATGCAACTAAGGCTCCAGAAGGTCCAGAAAGAGTCTACATGATCAGACGCAGCCAGCACTGCTCTCTGAGGCACACCTGGACCTCAGTTGTGAACTCCAAGCTTCTCTTGATTTGTAACAACTTCTAGCCAAACCATCCAAAGGCCTGAATTGCTCTGATGAGGAAAGCTGAAGACACAGCAACCGTCGGAAACAAGACCCACCCAGCAGAGAGGAGAGGCTGAAGCAGTGAGTGACTGCAGGGGGCCCCGGGGCCACCTAATGGGAGGGGCAAACCTTCCTAGCTAAGGATGGATGTAAAGAGGACAGAGAATGGAGGGAGACAGGTGTGTGAGGGAGACGGCTCCATCCAGGTTGCCAAGGAGCTCCGGAAGTAGAAAGGGGCATGGGCAAAAGCAAAAACTAGTAAGCGGGTCTCCAGTTCTGGTTTTCTATTTGGGAATTTTAAAATGCAGTGGAAGGTCTGCTGCATCCAGTCCATGCTCGGGTTATCCGCCCAATTCTGTAATTTAGGCGTCACAATAGATGCCTAATAGTCCTCCTAACTGGAAGGACTCTCCAGGGAAAGGCACACCACAGCTGCTCAGCCCTTCGGTGTTGTCCTGGGCCAGTGAGATGTTCCGGTGGATGACTGTGAAGATGCAGGGTCCCTGTGTTCAAAGCTCCAGTGACAGAACACAGTCCTTGAACAACAGGCCGACTCGCCAGGCTGTATGCTCAGACCACACCTTTTGGTAAACACGGGACTGACGGCAGCGGGCTCAGTAGAAGCGTTTCCGGCTCTGGTCCTGCCATTTGTTGTAGAGTATGATCCCAATAACGATGGCAAATACGGAAAACACCAAGGAGAAAAAGACGATAAGGAAGAGAGCCAGGCCACTCAGGGGCGTCGGTGGGACTGTCACTGAGGAAGTAAAGAACCAACAGTAAGGAAGATGGAGCCCACCCTACAATGGGTCAACAGGTTGTCCAGTCCCCAGTTTCTGACACCCACTTCTGAGGAACCAGATCCCTGACACCCTCTCTCCCCTTTCCAGCTGGTTCAATTTAAAAATGAAGCAGCCGCTCACCTGCTGCTGCTTGCCTGTAACAGGACAGTTGGGGAGGAGGGCAGGCATCCCTTGTGCCTCACAGGAGCACAGAAGGACCTGACAGCTGGGTGCCAGTCACCCCAGACTCCACGGACACTGTAGCCTCCTCCCCTAGCAAGGGCCATTTCCCAAAATCCCACACTCACTCTCCGGCAGCTTCAGATTGTCCACTGAGGGCAGGAAGACATCTCGATGTAGTTTTTCTTCTTCTGGGGTCCTCACTCCAGTCAGCTCAAACAACTTCAGGGAAATGACATCATGGTTATCTAAAGGAGGGAGAACGGAGGATTACTCCATTGCCCTCAACAAGGGCTTCTGGAGTTCGCATCTTGCTTCAAGCCTCAGATACAAGCCTCTCTGTTCACTGACACACTGACAGGAAGGAGACCTTTCAGGGGAGCATGGAAACGGACAGGAGAACGGAGGTGGAACCAAGGCATGGTAATGGGGACACAATACAGTTGCTTTCTCTCACATGCAGAATGGAGATTCAAATACACAAGACAAATGCACAGGGAGGACGACTGGGGAAGGAAGACCTGCAGGAGGGGCAGGAAGACAGGGTACAGAGCCAGTGCGCATGAGCTAAGCAGAGTGTCACTCACATGAGACCTGTGATGGCACATGCCTGTGGTACCTGCACTTAACTCAAGAAAAAAGGCAAGTGTGGAGGCACATGCCTGTAATTCTAGCGCTTGAGAGGCAGAGACAGGATTGGTGCAAACTCAAAGCTATCTCGGACACACAGGAGACTCAGGGCAGCCAGGGAGATGCAGTAATCTCAAAAGCAGCAGCAGAAAAAAAAAAAAAAAAAAACTTTTTTAAAAAGTTAAAGCTTGAGCTGGAGAGATGGGTCAGAGGATAAGAGCACTGATTGCTCTTCCAGAGGTCCCGAGTTCAATTCCCAGCCACCACATAGTAGCTCGCAACCATCTGTAATGGGATCTGATGCCCTCTTCTGGTGTGTCTGACGATAGCTATGGTGTACTCATACATAAACTAAATCTTAAAAAAAATAAAAAAGTTAAAGCTTCATACTTTTCTCATCTAAAAGAAGACAGAATTAGATATATTCTATGTATTTTACTGGTAACTATGCATTACTTACATAATAAAAAAATTAAAGATAATATTGAAAATAATTAGGGCTAGGGAGATAGAAGGCTCAGTGGTTAAGAGCATTTGATAAAGGCCAGAGTTCAGTTCCCAGCATATACCACATGACTTAGAAAGATCTGGAGCTCAAGCTCCAGGAGATCTGACATCATCCTCTGGCCTATGCAGGCACCTGCATACACATGTACATACAACACACACACACACACACACACACACACACACACACGCAAATAAACATTTAAAACCTTAAAAACTACTGAAAGATAATTAAACCCCTATTATACATTAAGACCTTTTAGTAGTGAGAGGAGACACAGCACACTGCAGCTTCTTCATGGTGGAGCATGAGCACACATGTGCACATGCATAAACATGCATGCACACAGACAGAGAGGAGAAATAGTCTCCCAGCATCTGTTTAATGGGTCTTGGTGAGTGAGGCTAAGAATACCCGCACTGAAGATGTTGTGCTTCCCAACTCTCTTTCTTTTTGGGTCCCTAGAATTCTGACACTCATCTTCCTAACGCTACTAGAAAGGAGATCACGAGTGCTCTTTCTCTACATGTGTTAGTACAAGCATGTAACACATGGTTTTGCAGTGCAGCACAGACTGGCCTTGAAGCCTTCAGAGTACTGGGATTATATGTGCTGGGCACCATACCCAGGCCTACATCTCTCCTTGTTTGGTTTTATGAGACAGGTTCCACTAGGTAGCACAGGCTGCTGGCCCCAAACCTGACTTTCTAGTCTCAATCTTATTGATGCTGGAATTATAGGCGACAGCCTTGTGCACAACTTCTCATTTTTAAAGTTTTTGTTCTTGTTAAGTTGGGTTTGGGCTTTTTAAAACTTTATTTGTTTGAGACGGGGTCTTTTTATGTAGCCCTTGTTCTAGAACTCACAGAGATCCACCACAGCTGTCTCCTGACTGCTGAGAGTAAATGGCCTTCGGGCCTTTCTGACTTCCAGGCTTGTAACGTTTCTTGCCACAGATGTAGTATCAGCTAACTCTTGACGAAGCTCTGCTCCCTTTAGCGGGGATTGACTTACTTCCTTCCAGGCTGGCTGTTGCCAGAGGCCTGGATTTCAGATTATTTTTGTTATCAGGGCATATCCACAGCTCCTTGGTCTGCTACAGTCTTCACTTCACCTTCGTCTAGAAAATGTTTGTGCTGCTGAAACTAAATTTAAACTACAGGACAGGATAAAAAGCCAGGGCAGTCCAGGCATAGAATCATGTATGTAATCTCAGCATATGGGAGGCTGAGTAAGAAAGAATCTGAGGTTCAAGGCTAGCCTGTGCTACACAGCAAGTTCTAGGCCAGCCTGGACTACATAGACAAAACAAAGTAAAACAAAGAAACAAAACATCAAAGAAGCTATGCAGAAAACTGACCTTCCCTTTCTTTCTTTCATTGCTTTTTTGAGACAAGAGTATCACCCTGTAGCTCAGACTGGCCTGAATCTGTTAGGTAGCTGGCTCATCTTTCTTTTCTTCCTTCCTGTGGGCAGGTCTATATGGCCCTGGCTGTCCTGGAACTCACTGTGTAGACCATGCTGGCCGCAAACTCAGAGACCCAGCTGCTTTGGCCTCTGCCTTTTCCTTCCTCTTGCCTTTCTGTCTTTCCTTCTTTCGTAACTAACCCTAGGCAATATTCTACAGTATGTGGACATAAGAGCCTAGGATAGATGAGAATAGCTGAACTTTCTCAACAAGCCCTAGAAATTAAAACAAACAACAACAAAAATGCTGGGTGTGGTGGTGGACACCTGTAACTCCAGCACATATGAGGTTGAAGCAGGCTTCATCACTAGGTCAGGGCATGGGTACAAAGCAAGACTAAAATGGAAACAAATAAGTAAAATCCAAATAAACCAACAACAAAAAGCCAACATTAATGACAACGAAACTATACTTCTACTTTGTTGTTGTTTCTTTTGTGTTTTTGAGACAAGGTTTCTCTGTATAGTCCTGGCTATCCTGGAACTCACTCTGTAGACCAGGCTGGCCTCGAACTCAGAAATCTGCCTGCCTCTGCCTCCCAAGTGCTGGGATTAAAGGCATGTGCCACCACTGCCTGGCAAAACTATACTTCTATAGGTTGGAAGTTTATAGACATTTTTATAAATTGGCTGCCCAGGCCAAAACTAGGTATGGTTTTGGCATGACAACCAAGGAAGGTAGGAGCTCCAGTGCTGGTGAGATGAATCAAAGGCGGACCAGTGCACTGTGCACAGGAGGCAGACGCTGCTGGTCAGAACAGAGCCAGGGCAAGGGTCTCTATAGCGTGCAGATGGCACAGCAGACATTAACAGTACCAAGTACAGCTTGGGAGGAGGCAGATGGCTAGCAAACTTGTACCCACGCTTCATTCAAATGTCTGAACAAAGAGGGAGGGAGACTGGGGATGGTTAGGAGGGAAGGATGGAGCCAAGAAGCAGCTGTAAGAAGGGAAACTGGCCACAGCAGCATGTGCAGGCTGAGAGGCACAGGCCGCAAGAGTTGCCCAGGGGAGGCACACACTCGCTGCTTGAGGTAGCTCCTGGATACAACTGTCCCAAAGGAGCCTGGATTGGAGCTTCCACAGATCGAGACAAGAATGTGCAGCACTCTTAAACCATCTGAGTGGCCCCTATAGCTCCCTATCTAGCTGTCCTAAGGGGCCTCACCAAGCCTGGGGTCCTGACAAAAGGGATCAACTGAGGCACAGGGAGAAAGAGCAGTGCAGTACCAGAGAGATCCCCAGTGATGGAGGAAGTGCCGAAGTAATAGCCCCTGGGGAGTCGGACCCCGGGCATCTCAATGCAGTCCCTCCACTCATGTTTGCCATCAATATCCATCATTATCTGGAATAAAGCAAAGAGATACCAGGGTCAGGCCACAGGAGCAGAGGCAGTGGATACCCCCAGCTGCTCCAAGACAGCACTCACCGTCAGATGCCTCTTGACATAGCGAATCACGAGGAAAGTGTCATAACGGATATTGCGGACAATGGCTGTGCAGCCCCCCAGCTCTGTGGGCCGCCCGTCCCGCTCGTGATCATAGCTGAGGGAGCCGTTGTTCACCATGGCTGAGATGTAGGGGAATACCCGCTGGAACACAAGGAGGGAAAAGCAGACAGGAAGGAAGACTCTCAGTAATGCCTGCACTATACAGTGAGAGGAACCCCCTGCCTCATCTTAAGCAGCCCACCCTGCCGGACCCACATACAGATGATCATGCATTGGGGACATGGACTCAGGGAGCAGGGACTCCACACTTGATGTTAGTAGTTCTCCAGACCCAGGGTAGACCTGAAGAGGCCCTGCAAGATGCTGGGGTTCACTCTGCTCCTCCCAGCAATCACTGTTTGGTACTGCCCACCAAGAGTCTCCTCCTCATGGATAGATACCTTTCTTCCCAGCTCCTTCTTGAAAAGGAAAGTCATCTCCAGGTCTCCACTTCAGCCCTATCCCTTTGCCAAGTGAAGTGCTGGGCACACAGCAGGCATTCTCAAAATACCTGTTTCTGGATAGCTCCTTTCTGACCCTAAAATCCTGCCAGTACTTGATGCTAAATGAATCCAGAAAGCACTACTGGGACAGGCTCTGAGGGCTTCTCTAGCCACAACCACTGTTCTCAGTCACCACGTCCAGCTCATGCACATGTAACCTCCGGAAAGGATACCAAGAGTGAGAGGACAGTGTCCCACATGTAGGAAAACTTAAAAATGTCCATGTTACCTACTTGGGTTCCCACTACTTAAAGAGATGCTTTCTCTCCAACAGAGATGTACAAGCAAATTCTTCTTCAAAACTGGTGAGCTAATCATTCCAGAAGGATCCAGTGCAAGTCAATGCAGAGGGGCAGAGTGATGAAGGGGGAAGGGAAGATGAGGCATGCGCTCCTTGGACAAGCTCCACACTGTTCCAGACAGTCAACATGCAAGGTGGAAATGCAGTCAAGACCAGAGACTCGGAACTCCTGAGACAACAGCCACATGGAATCTAAGCAGCAAGAACTGTCAGATGGACTGTGAAAACAAGGGATGAGCGAGGGGAGTCAAGAGCCGAGTACCTGGACTCCTGGAGAGTAGCGCCTCTTCTGGGCCTGAGTGGGTCCAGCAGGTTATTACAGAAACAAGACAGGACACAGAACACAGGAAACCAAGTCAGAAGGACAGCCTTGGGAGAGCTATGACCCTGCTGTGGTGGATGAGTTAGCAACCAAAACCCTCAAACAGAATTTTAGGGTCCATGAAGGGCACCCAGCAAGCTCCTGAAGCTCCCACAGTATATAAAGAACCTGCCAGGTGCCTCATTGCATGCAGTGAGCCTGTCTGGCTGTCACCAGACTCTCAAAGGAGCCTACTACAAAGGCCTCTCTACCCCATGGAGGGACTTGGGGCTTTTAGCAGCTCTGTGAAACAAACCGTCTTGCACTGCCCAAACACAACTGAGCTAAGTCTCCCAGACCACTGTGTGTCTATAGCACAAGGGAAAAAAGAGAGCAAACAAAAACAAAGAAAAGTGAACTCTTCCAAGTTTGAGATGTCTTGTACTGCTCAGGTCTCAGGATACAGCTCTTGCCCAGAAGACAAAAAACCTACTGTACAAGACCATAAAATTAACTCTAATCCAGAGGGATCATTTGCCCTCTAATTGAGCCTCATGGACATACATCCCAAATCACTGTTGTCGCTCTGACCTACGACACGGGGGCAGGGCGAAGCTCCGTGGGAGCGCGGCAGCACAAGATTAGAAAGTCACTGTGCTTGAGGCACTTCAGCTTTGCCTCAGCAAATCTCCACAGCTCCCAACTACCAGCACTGAGAGGAAGCCTCACACGCTCAGCTCAGCCCAGTTCGTGGGGGGGTAGAGGGGGCGAAGGGGTGTGTATCCCGAAGCATGCATTCCTCTCCTCCTTAGTAAAGCCAACTATGCTAAGAGTGAACTGTGCTGTGGGCGGGGCCCAGGTGGTCAGAAGGAGTCCAGCACACGGTCTGACGTAAGAAAGAGAGGCTCGTTCGTGTGAGGCAAGGTAAAGCATGTCAGCCTCTCGGACCAGGGTATGGAGGTGGGGGAGTCCCCAGGGAAGCTTCCCAGATGTTGTGAACCACCAGCATAACGTATGTGCTACAGGACCCGAGGGCTATGTAGTCTATCAGTGGATAATTAAGCCACCATAAAATTACTCTTATGCAACTGTCATTTAGAACAAGGTAATTGCCAGCGTGTTATTAAGTAATTCTCAGAAATGGATTCTGAGAAAGCTTATAACTTCAGTGAACAATTAAGGAAAGGAAGGGATTTAAAAATGCCCTAGGGTGCTCTGATGACCCCAAGATTCACTTTATTTATCACTTCCAATCACAAAATTAACTTAGAATTTTAGAATGCCTAAGACAGCAATCCTTGGGCAAGGGTATCCAACTCTTCCTAAGGCTGGTGTGACATCTAATCACCCAGCAAAAGTCAGGCAGGAAGCTGGGCCCAAGCTACCCGGGAGGAGCCTTTCATCTGTGTACACATGAGGGTACTCAGTCAAGGAGCTTCACAGTAGTCTAGAATGGGGCTCAGGGGTTCATTCTTAGTTTTGTTTTTCTGAGACATTTATGTAGCCCTGGTTGCCATCAGATGACTGAGTTTCTCTATCTGCAACCTTCCCCAGTTCTGGGAATAGAGTGTGCTGCCACAGCCAGGCCCACGACATGCTAGGGAGGAAAGCTAGGGTATCCTGCATGCTATGGAAACCTGAGCTACATCCGCAGCCCCAGGAAGACTGCAATGCCATCATAATTAGACACAGAACTAAGTGACACTGAGCCCATGGCCCCAACAGTACCATCTGTAGCTTCAACAGCTCACACTGTGGCAGGGTGAGCATTTCATTCCCAACTCAGAGTCCGCCCTCCCCCCCAATATAAGGAATTCCCACCTACTGTCCAGTGAATACTGTCTATAGCACAGGAAAAGTTTCCAAACCTGGTACCATTGGAGCCACTCATAGTTTCTAAAACAATCCTCTCAGCATTCACTCATTAACAAGATACTCAGGGCTGGGCAGTGGTGTCGCATGCCTTTAATCCCAGCACTTGGGAGGCAAAGACAGGCGGATTTCTGAGTTTGAGGCCAGCCTGGTCTACAGACTGAGTTCCAGGACAGCCCGGGCTATAAAGAGAAACCCAGTCTCAAAAAATCAAAACCAAAAACACAAACAAACAAACAAAACCCAAGGTACTCAGGATTCTTCTGTGGACCCCTCCCACTCTTAGAACCCCTCCCACTCCTAGGACCCCTCCC